TCTATCTCTCTATCTCTCTATCCATCTATCTATCTTTCTATCTGTCCTATATGAACCCCTGTCTTATGCATGATAACCCTAGGCATTTTGCACGCTTGTCACAGGGCCACCTGGATGGAAGGGGCTTGAGATGAGACCCACCCACCCAGGTCTTTCCCCAAAGTTGCCATCAAAAGATACTTTCGGCTTTTGACCTCCTGGCCCAGAAATAATACGGGGGGGGGGGGAGATCCGTCTCCTTATCTCCCAGGCTTTGAAACAATTGCTTTAATTCCTTTTTTCAAATAAAATCTGAAATGTGTTCAATGCTGAATGGCAGTCTGGGGTAGTGGTTAAGACAACAGGCTAGAAAACAGGCAGTGGTGAATTCTCTCCCTCCCTCCCTCCCTCTCAGCCCAACCCACCTCACAGGACTGTTGTATGGAAAAAAGGAGGAGGAATATTAGCTAAGTTGGCTGCTATGAGTTGACATTCCCCACCCCAAAAAAGTGGGATTCAAAAAAACAAAAAAAAGGCCCAGGAATAACAGAACAACAGAGATGGAAGGGGCCTTTGAGGTCTTCTAGTCTCTCCTAGCTCGGAAGGGGATCATTTAGGGCAACTGGATTGGGAGGGCCCTCAAGGAAGCCCCCTTCAGCTGCAGAGCTGGTGGGGGACCCCCTCCCCTTTATCCATGTGCTTTGCCATTGCTGTTTCGGCCTGCAAAGAATTCCCCCCAGCCATACCTGGGGAGTTGGGAGGCTCCTGCCTGCTGGCTTTGCTCTCTAAGACAAGATGAATTTTATTGTCCTTTTTTTTTCTGTGAACACACTGGCAACACCTTAAATGAAATTCTGATGCCTGCTCTCAAAAGAAAAATAAATATATAACCATAGACAGACATCCACACACATATAGTATACATATGTTTTATATAGAGATAGATAGATAGATAGATAGATAGATAGATAGATAGATAGATAGATAGATAGATAGATAGATAGATAGATAGATAGATAGATAGATAGATAGATAGATAGATAGATAGATAGATAGATGATAAATATAGTAGCTATAGATAGAAGATAGATATTAGATAGAGACAGACAGACAGACAGACATAGATAGGAGAGACATTTAAACAGATAAGTAGATAAATGGATAGATATAGATGGATAGATAGATAGGTAGGTAGGTAGGTAGGTAGATAGATGATAGAGAGATGATAGATAGAAGATAAATATAGTAGATATAGATGATAGAAGATAGATATTAGATAGATAGATAGATAGATAGATAGATAGATAGATAGATAGATAGATAGATAGATGATAGATAGATAGATAGATAGATAGATAGATAGATAGATAGATAGATAGATAGATAGATATAGATAGATAGATAGATAGATAGATAGATGATAGAGAGATGATAGAGGATAGATAAATATAGCAGATATAGATAGAAGATATTAGATAGATAGATAGATAGATAGATAGATAGATAGATAGATAGATAGATGATTGATAGATAGATAGATAGATAGATAGATAGATAGATAGATAGATAGATAGATAGATAGATAGATAGGAGAGACATTTAAATAGATAAGTAGATAAATGGATAGATAAAGATAGATATAGATGATAGATAGACAGACAGACAGGTAGGTAGATAGGTAGGTAGGTAGGTAGATAGATGATAGAGAGATGATAGAAGATAAATATAGTAGATATAGATGATAGATTGATAGATA